CGTGAAAGCCTTCGACAATACACTTGCATTTTTGTTTTATAAGTATGCAACAGTAGAAAAAAGAAGATACTAGAGCAAACAAAAACTAGTTAATTTTACTATAACTAGGAAAAGAAAAAATAATTGCCCTTCGTGAATGATTCAGTGACTGCTTCCTCCTGGATAAGCAGAGACTATGAGAGAAATGCAAGGCAGTCAGATTCCAAGGAACAAACTCATGAAGTGAATGAATAGGGACAGCAAACAGAAGTTTACCAGGAGAGTTCCACAGGAGTGTTTAAAGGGCAGTCCCTAACTATTTTGTTCCTTGCTACCATGATAAGTATTCACTGTACCACTTCAAGTTAATACTAACAATATTGAAATCCAGAGCCCAGAACTGAGTCTTGCAGCACTTCATTCTATCATCTCTCCATTTTGATGAGGACACATTCATGAGCATTCTTTGAGTATGATTATTGAACCAGCTATATATCCATTTAATTGTCATGCCATCCATGGTTTTAAAAAATGAGATAACAGTCTAACAAGATTTGTTTTAAGAAATCAATACACTTTTCTAGTATTTACCAAATTGTTTTTAAAGTGCCTATGGATTAATCTCTTCATGATCTGTTGTTAAATCTACATAGGCATGATATGAGGTTAACTTGCCTATAGTTCCCTGGATTATTTTTCTTTTCCTCTTTGCAGACAGTAAAATTGAAAAATCAGTATCCATTAGCTTCTAGCTGTGGCAAAGCACAGATACTCTAGGTGGAGCAATACACCCATTGTGCACATCCTTGATCTAGGGAAAACATGCAGGCCATGCTCCAACACTGCTCTAAACTAGGGAGAGGAAAATAGGGTTGATTTTAGAAGAAAATTGCTCTAAGTATCCAATCACAGATTTCCTGCATAATAACTAATTCGTGCTAAAATGAACATTGTTCCACTGAATTTTTTTTTTCTGCAGTCATTCATGTTTTCAGCAAGTATATCTGCAAAAAAAAAGTTTTTGCCTGTTTTAGCTTCCATAACTGAAAGCATTAATGTCTTTAGGAAAAAAATTGTGTTACTGAAGCAACATTGTCAGAAAGAGGAAATTATGTGCAGTGCTCACGTGTTGAGCTCTCTCCATTTATAATGCATGAAGAAACTAATGAGTTGGTGTTTAGATTTAAGAGATTGGCTTGAATCCAATTCCTGATACAGGGATATTAACGTACAGGTAGGCCTCGGGTTATAGCAACCATTGAAAGTTACAAGGATGTTGAACGAGGGGGGCTTAAAATTGGTCCGTGAAGTTGCAGCTGTTGCAGCATCCCCATGGTCACATGATTGCAATTCGGGCGCTTGGTAACTGTCTCACAATTATGACCATTGCAGCGTCCCACGGTCACATGATCACCACTTATGACCTTCCCTACCAGCTTCCCACAAGCAAAATCAATGGGGTGTGCTACATGATAGCTGGTGTGCTACATGATAGCAGCTTCCAGACTATCTTCATTTTTTATATATATTTTTCCTTTGAGAGCACTGGTTAGATTGTATTTGGGGTACAGTATGGGCACTGGTTAGATTGTATTTGGAGTACTGTTTCCATTTCTGGGCACAAGAGTAAGGTCATGGAGAACCTGGAGTGAGATCAAGGAAGAGCTGAAACCAAGCTCTGTCAGGAATGGTTAAAAGAGCTATGCATGTGTAGTTTGTAAAACACTAATGTATTTAGATAACATACTATCTAAAAGGATGTCATGAGCATGAAAAAGCTGTTCTCTGTTGAAACCAAGAGCAGGAGAAGGACCAACAGACTGAACTTAAAATAATACTGATTCAAGCTAAAACTTAGGAGGAGGCTTATGATGGTAAAAGTGGTTAAGCAGTGGAACAGAGTTGACTAGAACAGTGGTGCACACTTCCTAGCTGGAGGTTTGCAAATGGGATTGTTAGTCCTGTTCTGAACAGGCAATTGGACCAGGCATCTATAAGGTCCTTCCAGCTCATACATTCTTGTGATTCACTCTGTGATGGTAGCACATGTAGGAGTCTGTCTTGTTTTTATACTCACAAGAGCAAAATTAAATCAAGGTGGTTATTCTTTTTTAAGGACAGACTTCCCCGTTTTGCAATTGAATCCTAGTTCTGTGTATGCTCTCTTTCACAGAGAACCCTTCTTTTCACCCCCAAAAGCTACTGCAGATCTGTTGTGTGTCCTTGTTACTTAAGATTGAGGCATACTTCTGTGTAGTGGTTGTGTGCATGAAAATATAAGCACTATAGTTTCCTGAGTTTAGTTTCATTTTTACAAAATTCCTGAACTTAATGAATGCTTCATGTGCAAAGCATCATCTGACAGAAGATTTGCATGATATGTGTATGCAGGATTCACTAATTTGTCTTCAGTCTCTGCCAAGGGTAGATGTACTAGTGCAGGTACATTGGATATCACTGCTTGTTCTCATTTCTCACATATAGTTTCACTCCCAAAAGAACATTCTCATTGTATCTTTGCATGATTTGCTTATAATGATTTGAAAGGTGATATGTTGTGACACAAAAACAGGGCATAGGTTCTTCTGAGAAAAGTACAGTTTACATTTTAAAGTTAAGCTCTTTGAGAATTAAAAGTGAGATAGGTGTCTAATTTTAGAGGCTTCTAATTTTAATTTGGGAGGAAAATTATCAGCGTTATCAGAGTTTTAGACAACACTGTACTGTTGCATAGAAATATGTCTTTATTTTGCCATATTGCATGTTAGTTTGACAAGTATATAGCAATGAGACATTGGAAGTAGTACACATTGCCTGGGATGTGGGAAATTAGTTTTGATTTGCCTTTTTTTAGAAATTCATGACTGAATAAGGCAGAATCAGGAGTCTACTTTTACATCTGTATTCATGTATGTACCCATGTTCAAATAACGGTGGATAAGTTAATGGACATCTGGAAGAGGCACATTTTTCAAATCATTTTGGTCACAACATATATGGAATTGTATAGAGAATATGATTGGTAGCTGGTCTTAATAAACAGTTAGTGAATCTTGCCTGCCTAAAATGCAAAACAGATGTATCTTTGTTCTTTTCAATTGACTTTGATGAATAAACTATATGTGACATCATATCCAAGCTATTGGATATCTTGAGTCCGGCAGAGAAGTCTTTTAATGTTTTTTAAAAGTTTCCATTCTAGGCACTGAAGAGAACAAAGTGATTCCAGTGCACTGCTCTTAGAACAAATAGTAGCAGGTTCAGAGACTCAGACTGTTTTTAGTCCAAACATTTATAAGTTGTATTATTTAGAGCTTTCTTCTCTGAGCAGTATGCTTTTTTCCCCTCTCTCTTCAGTAAAACTGGGACTAGAAATTTGGAAGCATTTTTCTAAGTGAAGACGAAGATATTTTTCTTCATTTAAGTTGTTTTGAGAGGCAATATAAACAAATCTGAGCAACATTCTATTATTGGTTTTTTTAAAAACATTTTGGGTTTCCACATCTCCCCCCCCATCCCCTCCAACCCCTGGAAGATTAACCCAGCAGCCCATTTTGCTGTGTATTTCATGTGTCAAGAAGTCATACATTTCCTTATGGCTGTTTCATTTATAAACAAGTATCAGCTGCACTTTTTTCTTCTTTACGGAATCCCTTTGGAATTTAACTTTCAGATATAAATACTTGGAAAAATTGGCAGCTGAAGAATATGAAAAGGAGCTGAGAAGTCGAAATTTATGTAGGGACAGGAGTGACTTATCCTTGAATTTGGGTGGTTCTCCAGTCCCAACTGCTACCGTTCCCAAATGTACCACCCCAGGTTTAACATATTCTCCTGAGAAACCATCGGCTTGTGTGACTTCTTGCAAAAGACCCCAAACTCCAGAAGGTAAGTGCTTGTAAATAATTATTGTAGTTATAGTAGATAAAATTTTACAGACTATATGGTGCTCCATGTTATGAAAGTGTGATTGATAATTGTTGTTGAAACGTAGGCTTAGAAATTAGAAATCTAATATCTTAGAAATTAGATTGAATTTAGAATCATGGAGAATAAGGCTATAAATGGGTACTCCAGTATTAGAGGCAGTATTCCTTTGAATGGCAGTTGCTTGGAAACATAAAAAAGGGTGTGATATTATGTTTATGTTGGCCATAAAGGAACTGAATGCTAGACTAAATAGGCCTGCCTGTGATTTGATTCAGGTTTTGGTACGACTCTTGCATATTATGTTTAACAACCTCAAAACACTAAAGACATGCAATCTAGCTGAGATTAAACATTTAACATTCCATTGGCTTCTCATCTTTCTATTACCTTTCTCCCAATTTGAAAGAGCTCTCCACATTAAAATCCAGTGTGGAATTTCAAAAGCAACTTGTCAACAATACACATGGCTCCTAGCAGGATGGATTGTTAGTTAAAAATCCTCCAGGTTTTCTGGCCTTATGGCTGTAATAAAGTGATTTGATTTGATTTGATTTGATAAATCCTCCAGGCCCCCATAGAGTCTGGTGGTTCAGAGGATTGTGCTAATTCAGAAATTAAAAATAATTAATTTTGCCCAGGTTATACCCAGAAAAGCAATATCTTCTGTAGGTCTTGATGCAGAGGATAAATCAATAATTCTTATATATTCCCGGAAGACTTGTAAGGGACTCTCTATACTCACAGGAGCCATGCATATTGAATAACAAGCTGCTTTTGAAATTCTGGGATTTTGAAATTCTCGGAAATTACAAAATTGCTTTTGAAAACTTTCAGAACAGAATGGGGTGGCGTGAAGATGAGAAATCTGGGTGTATACATTCAAAATTCACTTGCCTGAATTTTAATTTGTATTACATTTAAATTATTGTTAGGTACCATGTAGATGTTAAAATGAAAACAAAATGTTAGTATATACAGTATGTGTACAAAATAGATTGGTTTTTGTTTCAAGAATCTCTGAAAGAAGTGTGGCTATCATATGCCAAGACTGGCTGTTCAGTTTAATGGAGAGAGAAGAAAACAGAAAAGAACTATTTTTTGTAAAAATCATAACTTTAGTTAAATGTTAAAGACTTGAGTTAATCGGCTAGGAAAGAAAGAAAGGATAACCTATAGGCCAAGTTATATCCTTGTTTTAAGTTTAGCTGGTATCATTGACAAGTTTTGCATCTGCTTAAATATTTCCTCTTTGGGAGTGCTGAATTTTAGTTGAATTTTCTTTGATTAGTGTCTTGGAGCTTAATTAAAATATGTTCATGCACTATATATTTATGCTACTTCTATATTCAATGTCTTCCTTAGGGAGAGAAAATCCATACAGTTAGAGTTGACAAATACTTTTAAGTATGGTAGATGCTCAAGACCAGTTTTCACTCGCCTGTTCTATGGATTGATGGTATATGACTTGATGGTATATATGACTTAGGTTTCTTGTCTTTAATGACTATTATTGCTTCAAACATGCTGTTAGCCCAACTGTCAGTTGAAGGAAGAATGGATGTATGCTTTCTTTGCATATGCCAATGTGAAGCTTTATTTTAGTTTGCAAAGATTTCCAACGAAGACTGTATCTGTAAATTCACTTCTGGTTAGAAATATTTGGAATGGCAGTCATTCAAATTCAATTTTAGGCATTACAATCCATTTTCCCTAAAATTAGAATTTTTCAAAACTCTTGTGTGGAAAATAGCTATCTCTTTTATCACTGGTTTAGCATATGTCTCTGGGAATTATCCTAAACACTACCTTATAAAATGGAGCATTTTATTAAGTATTGCAGTAGATTTGTAACAGGTACAGAGCCAGACTCTTAATGACTGAAGGATTAATTTCTATCAACCTACAGTAAGTGTCTCAGGATTTACCAGAGAAATGCATCACAGTAATTAGCAAGTATGCAGTATTATGGAACTTTGCAAATAGATTGTACTTACAATCAGATATCACTGGAAGTTGACTGAGATTGACTACAATATATTTTCTGCACTAAGAGAAAGATAAATATCTCAAATTTAAATGTGATCACCAGCCACAAAATATAGATGAACAAGCAGCTGTTAAGAAGCACTTAGAGCACTTGTTGAATATGATTTGCCTAACAGCAGTATCATACAACCCAGATTTTACTATCTTGCTAACAAAGAACCCTGGGGAATGCTTCTCAAATGCTTTGTTTGAAAAGGATATACCATATTCATGGAATTTTCAACCAATATCTGAAAAGATAGACTATTTGTCTGGCATGACTTATTCCTAACATTATGTGTCCTACAAATCAGTGCAACTCTTAAATCTGTTTTTAGAATTTTGGTCAATAGAGATATTAGTTTATTTGGTCTGTAATTTGCTGAATCTGCTTTTCTCTCATTTTAGAATCTTCACACTTCAGACACTTTGCCTATTGCCCAAGAATTCTCACAAATTACAGGCAACTAAAAAAGGACCACTTGTTTTTTTGCAGTTTTCAATTCTTTCCATAACTTACTTTTCCTGACATAATTTGAACACATTCAAATATATTCTCTTCTGTACTTCCTGGCAATATATCTTTCTCTTCATCCTTGACAGATGCATGTTTTAAGCTTCCACTCACCAGAGAGCTTCCTGTGTAGCTCTCACCAGCTTCTTTCGATGTCCTCCGTTTTTTTTTTTTTCCCCCTCATGAGAATAGCTGCCAATTGTGCCTTCAGAATTTTTATTTTATAGGCTTTTGGTCTTTGTTGAACTTTTTTTTTCTTGCAGAATTTCTACCCATGTGATTGTTCCCAACTTACCTCTAGGAATGCTAATCTTAAAAAGCATTACTTACGAGGAATATGGACAACTAAGGTCATACTTTCAAATCTTTATTATAATCATAGACCAGCATATACTGAATAAAATAACTTCGAAAACAAAAAGTAAAATTAGCACCTGTGTAAAAAACTGTTATTGGCCATTTTTGGGTGGAGTTTACACATAATGTAACAAAATTTTGCTATATTTAAAGAGATAGAATTATCTCAATCATATAACAGATCAAGTAAATAGAAATTATTGGAATGCCCTGGAAAAGTAATCAGCTGGTGATGAATGTCCCTAAAAAACTGGCAGTAAAGGAGAATATGGACAATAGTTTTTATCGCACCTATGCCACAGGGACAATACTGTGCTTCAGGAGTTGTCTTATATCTCCCTGCAACTAAGCTCAGTTTTCACCACTCTTGGATCATGAAATACAAGTTGGCATGATCTCTTCCAACATTCCTGCCCCTTCAACTGACCATAAATAACTCTAAGGCAGCAAATCCTTTTGCTTCTTCCTCTTTATTCTGAAAGATAAAGTTATCATGAAAGCAACTCAAAAATGTATCTTATGTTATATTTTTAGCTGCTTAGTCCTTTGGCAGATATCAGAATAGTTGATTCTCCATTACTACTGTGGCTGATGACAGCCAGTTTGATGTAGTGTAAGGCACCAGACTAGAAACCAGGAGACCATAAGGTGTAGTAGTCCCACCTTAGGCACAAAGCCAGCTGGGTTACTTTGGGCGAGTCATTCTCTTTCAGAAAAAATCCAATGGCAAACCACTTTTAAAAATGTTGCCAAGAAAACTATCAGGACTGACTCAAAGACACAACCCCCCCCACCCCCCCTAGGAATT